TAATGAGTGCTGTCCTTGGTTAAGCTGGGGAAAAACCGAAAGGGTCTCGTGATAGTTGCAGTTTACTGCCTAATTAAAAAGTTCTTGGCCTGCGTGATTGTGTGCCTTCGTGTGTCACCCAGCTAAGCAAAAAAGCGACTCAAAGACGAACCAACTTTCTATGGCACCACTTTCGCTGTCCCCCGGAGATCCCAATGAATATTCTTGTTCTGCAATGATGATGAAACCTGTTTCCGCTCCTCTGCCTCCTCAACCTCCACCCCTCGACGCCTGGCCCCCACTTTTTATGGTAATGAATGGGTCAGGCAAAAGTAGAGCTTTGATTTCTGATGCTGGTGCTAACCGCAAAGGCAAATAAAATACCGGTAACGAAAAAAAGAAGACAAAAAGAGCAACATTATCTTGGTGTGACATTGGAGCAATGTTGTTCTGGTGTTTATTTCTTCTCTATCGTGTTTTGCCTTACCCATTTCTTCGGTAACTCTATTGACCTTATTCGCAGGTGTCTGTCTGTCCATAAGTTTTGAGCTTGACTTTGGGAAGCCGCATTTCTCTCTGTCCAAATGCAACTCGTAGAATGAAGGGTTTTTCCAGTGCAGTTTGTGGCTTTCACTTCACTTTAGTTCTCAGCTGCAGATTTTCAATGCACTTTATCGCTGTTTGGCTTTCTTGTTTAATTTTTTTGCTGGTATTTTCTACCCTTGGTTTGTGTACTAACAGTAGTCTAAAAATCTACGAAGCTGTAAAAATAAAATGACTCGATATGCAATTGATATAGAACAAAAACATATGTAATCTTGCCATGATATTTAATGAATTGTAATAGTTAAAAAAAATTGGTTAACACGTTTTGGTTACGTTAAAAAATAATACCAATAATTAATTGTTTGTTAAGTATTTTATATGAAATGGTACAGGGTGCGCCATCTCGAGCTTCGGTATGAAAATATTAAATAACTTTGGAAAAAAACAAAAATTCATGGAAAATGTTTTACATATATTTAGATTGATCCTTTACAATTCATTTGAGTTAGTTTTTGAATACAATATCGACTAAGTGACTTCCTTTGTTCTTGATGGCAAAAAGTGTCCTTTTTCGAGCATTTTCCATTATTTTCTTGAGCAATCGGCCGATATATTGGCCATTTCGGTGCGAATACTCTCCTTGAGCTCTGTGATGGTCTAGGGCTTGCTTATGTATACCCCACAAAAAGAAATCCGGCGGGGTCAAGTCCGGCCAGTCGATATCGCCTCTTTTTGACACAACGCATCCAGGAATTTTGCTGCAAAAACTGCATGGTTTCGTTTGCTGTCTGACATGGGACCCCGTCCTGCTGAAACCAGAAATTTTCTAGACCCTTCAAAAACTAACTCAAATGAATTGTAAAGGATCAATCTAAATAAACATAAAACATTTTCCATGAATTTTTGTTTTTTTCCAAAGTTATTCAATATTTTCATACCGAAGCTCGAGATGGCGCACCCTGTATATCTGCTTGCATGTTAAAGCTTCAATCACAACAGAAAGCCTTTGTAGTTTTGTAATTGTTTGTTGCTGTTACCACACATTTCTTCGGCTCGAACGCGTGTGAAATATTTCGATAAATGTTTGCGGATTTGTGTGAGTATGTCAGCGAACTGAGATTTTTGCCCTATTTGTGTTGGTTGTTGTGTTGGCTGGCTGACCAATGTTGGTCTTTTTTATATTTCTGTTTTTCCTTTTCTTCAGCACTGCTGCACTTCCCCATTACCCTTTTATTCCTCCATTCATCCAACCATTTTGACTCCTCGTCTCTTGGCGTTAACTTTTCCACGCATTGATGACGAATGGCCATGGAAAATGATGAATGTTTAATGGGGCAGTGCGACAGCAAAAACATTGTGAGGTAACATATTGATGGGGCAGGGGGTTGCACAAGCATTCGGTTCGGATGGGCGGATCGGGGTGGATAATGGTGGGTTGGGACTCGGTCATGCATCATGGAGCGGTTCGTTGCCGAAACTTTCAAATTCTCACATGTTCCAATGTCAACAAAGTTGCTGAAAAATATGGTTAGAAATTCGAGCGAAATGTATTTTTAACTTTGTTCTGAAACTTCAGTAGGAAAATGTCAGGACTGCACACTATTTGTTATTAAAACTTTCAATCGTTAATATTCTATGTTGCCTTAAGTTCTATTAATTTTTAAGCATAAGTGATTTCCAAATTACTCTTTAACTGGTCGAAGACATTAAACATTTATGTGATCATCTGAAAAGCGATAAACCACTTAACCCTTGAAGTGCTTTAAAAACCAAAGTCAAGTGTTTTTTTAGCTCTTAAATGCTGTCTTCTCATCTCTGAGTATTATGAGTATTTCCCCTTGACCTTATCTAGAGAACACCCCTACTCCTGAGTCACTTTGTTTGCGCTAAATTCCTTATGGAATATATGTAGATATGTGGGTTTGTGGTATAAAAATTGCTCCACTTGCGTCGTACAATCCCCCTTCATCGCGCTTTACCTCCTTTTAGCAGGTCGTTTATCACATTTTTTGCTTGGCTTAAGCAAGTCTATCAAAAATATGTATTCGTAATTGCAGCGACGCACACAGAAAAAGTTGTGGAGGGCAAAATGGGGGAGGGGAGGTGGGGAGGTGTATGGGTTACCAGCCATAAGCTAGCAAAAAAGAAGAAGCATCCGCCGCGGAGGTTGAGGAAAAGCGACATCGTCGAATGATGTCATGTTCGCACACCCTCTCTCTTTTGATTTTCTTGTGCATAAGTCTCGTTTTAGCATGGTATCTGTTTGTCTATTGCTTTAACGATTTGGAAAAGTCCCACAAATCCAGCAAAACCAACTAAAACTCAAACCAGCCCTAGGCACCCTTTATGAATCAGTTACCAAGGCGCTGATGCTGCAATAAAAGGTGCGATTTATCATAATGGCTGACGCATGTAACACAAACACACTTCACACACAGACACACACACATACACATGTTGGTGGTAGCCACCATTTCCCATTTCCCTTGGCTTCATCGTACACTTATATTTTGCAATATAACGCAATGGTTCCTGCTGTGGATTGTGGAACCATCGATTTCATTTCTTGCCATTTTCCGCATTTTTCACAAATCTGTTTTTCCACACACATACTCCTTCGTTTATGGCCTGGTGGCGAAATGTGTGTGTGTGTTTGCGGAGTTATCTGAGGCAGCCGCCAGACGCCAGTTCATATTGATTACAACAAATTTGCCGTCGCCATTCGCTCGAAGTTGTCGCCGGCTTTGAAAAAGGAGGGAAAAAACATGTGATTATATAACTGATATATGTATGTATGTAATCGAGCAAGTACTTGCCTCCTGCGAATGTCGGTTTTATTAATCTTTTCTTTTTGTCAGATATTTCCACGTTCCATTAAATATCCATTAAGGATATTGAAATATGATTTGGCATAGTAATTGGAGATTGAGATAAAGGCCTGCGTTGACAAAAGCCGGCATTCGGTTTCATTTCATTCTCAGTTTCTTCTGGTTTCTTGAGCTTGCCTATTTCGGAGTTTGCTAAGATTCTGCTTGTTTTTATTTTCCTTTACTTTGATAACAATCTCGGTTTGTATTAAAAATTCTAACCATTCTAAATCTTCAGAAAAGATCGCTAAATTATCTGCTGTTATTTTTTTGTTTTGATCAACTCCATTCTCCACGCTAACAGTTGGTGTTGAGTTCTGGTTTCTATGCCAACCGCTGCGGTCTTTTCCTGCTTTGATTTTTTGCACAGTTGCAATTCTGCACTGTAAAAAATCACAGCTTCAAAATGATATTCTCAAAATACGAGTTGAACTTTTAGAGTACTGAGGAATTTCTTGAAATATCTATTACAAAGAGTCTTTAGGTTTTTAAAATATTTACCGCCAAAATGTGTTATTTTGATAAGAATTTTATTCTTGTAATGCTACCTTTTTTATTGTATCCACTCCACTCCCACTTTGGGCAGCCGCCGCAGCTGGAAACCGTTCGCTGGCTTGACATTTAGTGCCGGCTGCTGCTTGGCCATGTCTTGAGCTCTTCGATGGCGACCGAAACGGAGACTGGGAGACTTGAAGACTGGGAGACTGGGGCAGAATCAGGGTCCGAGAAAGAGACAGCGGCTGAATCTGAAACCGAGACCGAGACTGGGGCTTTTTTGCTCTTTTGGCGACGACGGCCGATGTCTGGAATTTCGTTGAACCGGTTTATGTGTGTGGTTTGCCAGTGGCTGCTGTGGCAGTATTTTGCTTTTGTTGTTGGCGAGACTGGGTAACTGGCTCCGAAAATACAAAATACTTGCACAGCACACGGCTTTGTGCGATACTTGGCTAACCAACTGGCCACGCCGCACTCATACACACGACGAGTCAGTCGAATAAACATGGCTAACAAACACACAGACGCACACACACACTCACTCAACAAAAACAGCGCGCATATTTGTCGTTGCGGATTATTTCATAGCACAATTCCCCTCCACTGAAAGGAATCGGGGGTGGTGAAGTAGGCGGGGATGGGTCACCAAATGACTGTGGTCTTCTATTCTCGTTGTTCTTACATCGTCCTCTCTCTTTTTGTTGATTTTTTTTTCGATTTTGGCTCTTTTGCTCAGTTTCGTTGGCTGTTAATTTACATTGCAAAAATTTTCTTTTGACTTTATACGCAATTTGCAATTCAATAGTTTATAGATTTTGCTATTGTCAGTAGCTTTGGTGGGTGGAAATGTACTATATATCGAGATGTAGGTCTTGTATGAAGGCGACGTTGTATTGTTGTTGGTGCCACACATGGTTGTAAGTAGGCAACTGGAGCCATTCATTGTAAGGGAGGGTTTTTCGATTAGGTCATTTGATGCCAAGAGCTTTTCTCATCGAAGGGGACTATCATGGGGTAACCATTTAAAATGCAAGATGTTTATTTCAATTTCAGTTTCTTATTTGAAACCTTTAATAAAGTTTACTAATTCTGTTTCATTTCTTTTCATTGCAGATTCAAAACATCTAAGCTGTAAGTACATCATCACCGAAAACCACTGAATCCGATTTTAAAGTACAATAAGCAGCGAACCTTCTTTATCAACTAATGACAAGAACAAAAAAAAACCCATGATTTCAATTTTATACAACTTTGATTCCCTTAAAACCTCGCCCAATCCCTCAGTGACCAATAGTTCGCCATCTGTCAGATACAAAACTTGTTTGCGGCCAAGTGCAGCTTGCAGACGTCCTGTCCCGATTGAACCCGACCCCCGAGCACTGACCACTCGATAAATCTAATCAGTTAAAATGCATCCAGAGTTCGGTCAGGGCAATGTTGGAGCCGAACATTGTTCGAAATTCTGGTGTTGGCTGCTCGATATGTTTAGAGCTCGAATGATGCCCGCAAACTATGCAAACCGGCTAAATGCGATTGGTTTTCGGGTATTGGCCACATTCCTCTTTTCCCCCGCAAATTGATTCCAATGCAAATTGATAATGAAAAATGCCATGCAAACGCATTAGAATGAATGTACCCTGTGGTGGCATTCTTATCGCCGTTATGCCAACACCCGATGTTCTCCACCCTCCAATTTGGTCATTTAATGCAATGCGGCAAATATACGAAATGCGGTTAACGCAATGACAGCGTGATTAGCCGAAACCATTGTGGTGGAATCTGTTAGAGATGCGAGAAAAGGAAAACGGTGGACATAATTCGGGGAAACGCGTCCTTTTCGGTGGTTTGAATGGTGCAGTTGCTACTGCCCTGCGGTTGCTTAAATCATAATCTGCACACATGTGTGTTTGCCCAGAAGTCAAGTTTGTCTGTGTCAACCACAACTGGCAAACATTCAGATTCAGAATTCCGAAAGGAGGGTGTGGTAGTAATTTGAATTCCATTTAAAATTATCTACGTTTAATCAGTAACAAATTGCAAATCAACAGCATGCGAAGCGTAAAGCAAATACACGACACAATAGAACAGCTTTGCAACAGTTTGCTGCTTTTAATCATTTATTTAACAAATATGTCTCTTAAACACAGATAAACATACTTGATTTGACGAAAACTTTTTATCAATCTAATCAATATTCAGTCGTTCAAAATTATTCGAATGAATTGACAATCTCATGATTTATTCAATTTTGTAGGGAGCAGATGACAAAACATTTCCCTGCAATAAATCTCAATTTGGGAAGTAAGTAAGAAATACTTTCACAATAAATAACAATAATTATGCAAGAAAATGTTCAAATAAAAGCGAAATTTGTCGTCGTCCCTTTCTGGTTTCCTTCTCTTTCTTGTTCGACTTCCGTCTTTCAATGATCCATAATTGCTATTAATTGTGCTTGAGATTTGCATAGCAAATAAATCTAAGAGGGAAAATGCAAAACATAAATTCAACAATAGCTTGACACTTGAGCAGAGTTTGAAAGTTTTCTTTGGCGTTATTATTCTTGTTGTAGCCGTCGCTTTTGTCGTTGTCTAATTTATTTAGCATTGTGTAAACTTGTTCAAGGTTGAATAGGCTTTTATAGCGACTGGAAATTAAATGGCAACACAGCAGCAGCAGCCTCTAATAAAAACATTTGAATTACATTGAAGACAATTCGAAATGCCAAAAGGCAGCCAAAGTTTGCCTCGATTGTTTTTGGCCCAAACTCGAAATCAAATTGTGCCAAATTACTTGGCCAGCAAAATGCTTGGGCCAACCAATATTGCTTCTATCTCCCTCTATGTATATGTGTATGTGTATCGCCCTCTCTGTCCGTGTGGCTGTCTGTGGTCCAAATGAATAATTTGGCATCGCAGATAAACGAAATCAATGTCCACGAACCGGGCCCGAAACCAAATGGCAACATCTGCACATTGCGCTGGATTGAGGGGCCATCGAGGGGTAAAATGGTTACAGTTGGCTAGTGGAACCTCTGGGCCACTCTGGGGAACTTGTTATTGAATTAAAGTGACTTGATTTACGGCGCGTTCTGGTCAAAAGCTCTTAATGGCATTTGCCACGAGTCCAACTACCCTCTAACTCTCTAACCCGCTCGGTTTTGGCCTTTTATCCTTCGTCCATGCCCCTTCGACAGGGTCATTCGTTTTCCAAAATGAAGTTTACGCGTTGTGACGCTATAACCGTCAACGGTATGTATGCGTGATATTAAGTATGCGACATGTTGCCCCATTTATTAGAGATAAAAAGGGTTTTGAAGAAAGGGAAGAACAATTTTGTAATTTACGATGAAAGTGCGAAAATTTAATTGTTTTAATTATGCTCATCTGCTGAAAAAATAATTAGGAATCCAATTAAATGAAAACTAAAAATTTAAGGTAAGATATATTATTTTTACCTTATTGGATGAACTTTTAATAGTTTCAAAACAACAATACTGAAACAACGTTGTCGCAACTAACAACTAAAAGTAAACTTTAATGGTGACGTATAATCTGGCAATTAGATTATTCTGCTATGCAAAAATAATTTCCCCTGTTGTTTAAATTTGATAATGGGATAATGCATAATTAAGACAATTTGAAACTAACAGCAAACTTATGTCATCACTCATGCAGGTTGCAAACTTTTGTTTGCCATCGCTCACCCCTCCACACCACTCGACTGCTTGTTGTGGTAGCTGATAACATGGTTATCGTGGTTGGGACTCATTGTTATTGCCATTATTATGGGTGTTGCAAGCACGCAACACACACACTCGCGTAACTTAACTGAATTTAACTAAACTAAGGCGAACCTTAAATGACAACAGATAGCGCTAATAATTTATGCATGCTGCATGTTGCAAGTGGAAGCCAACATCGGGTGCCACCCACCGCCCGGCCGCCCACTTTCCAAGCTTTATCTTGTAGTAGCCACGCCTCCTCAACCGCTGAGCAGGCACCAACATGTGCACACAGGCACCCGCACCCACTCGCACACGCTGACAAGGCTGCACATAATTTAATTAAAATGAAATCTCGCACGGGGCGCTGAACTGCAAACTGTGAATGCAAATTATTATTAATTACAGCAGAGCGACGACAAATGTTTATGCCCGCCATATGTGTGCCAGTCGCTCTGTCTCGCTCTGCTGGCGTTTGCCATAGAGATGCACTCGTGAGCGATGATCTCTTTAACAAACAAGAAATCTATTTAAGACGTTAAATTTTTTAAGATTTGAATAAAAAAGTTACTAACTATGATGGGAACATCGCAATGAAAGTGTAACGAGAAACGCTGTTCCATTAAAAAAGAAACGCTATTTACTTAACTCTTATATTTTTATAGTAACTGTTTGGGTCACGAGCACATATGTTTTCGCAATAATAATAAATCGTGTCACGCGAGCATCTCTGTCTTGCATGCATGGGAAGACACAGCGGCGCCATCTGTTGACAGTTTGTCGCAAAAACAGCTTCGGTTAAGTGCATGGGTGTTTATGTGCGGTAAATGAAATTAAGAGAAATCTAAACACATTTGCCAGCCATTTATCCTAATGCCAGCTACTTTGGCTCTTCCAGGTTCTTGCCGTAGCGGTACTTTATCCTCGTTTTTCTTGCTTGCACTATTGGCAAAGAGAGAGTTGTCTATCATTAAAAATTAGTAGGAGTTTGAAAGTGGTTGATATTGGCGAACACATAAACGAAAAGTTTTTACAGTTTCGCCTAAATATAGCACTTTACATTGCAGTCATTAATATGTTAGCAAATTTGCATTGCTAAAGAAACTTGTTAATTAAATTCATTCTGTTGACTACTGTGGCACATGTTGCTGTCTTTGTTATCATGTTTTTTATAGCGTGAACACCAATGTGTACATGTTTATTAGCTTTGTTAAAAGCATATCAGTCAGTCAATAAATGTGTGAATTTTTTACATTATTGGATGAACACAAAATGATAATGTTTAATGATTTAACGTGGGCGAATAAATTCAATTAGAGGCATTAAACGATTTACATCTAGTGATTTCAATATAAGCTCATGTGTTTTTATTTCGAGTAGAAAAGAAAATTTCTAGGAACAGTAGCAGTAGATCTCGATGGGTTCTTTTTGGGCGCAAGCGGACTGATACTTGTACTGGTCCGTTCGTGTGATAACTCCTTGCAGTGAGCTGTCATTTTTGGCAAGGACTGTGGCATCAAAATGACCGTTTCCCGGTTTGGTAACCAGCCGAACAGTAATCGTGTCGTTGGTTTGCTTTTTCCGAAGGTAGGCGTCCTCCACATTGAGTAGCTGCAACTTGGAGCACTGCTTGTAGGAAGAGAGCAGTTTGTTAATGGTCGCCACTGCAAACTTGGCGATCCTCTGGATTCTGAGCGCATTCCAAGGTATCTTGACAAACCCATCGCATTGACAATAGTGCAGTGGTATTCGTGCAGAAAAACAGCTTCGCTTCTCGGGAATTGGCAGAAACAGAGATACGTTATGATCGTTACGTAGTCTCAAAGTTCTATTGCGTATACTCTCATCACTGAGGTTTTCCAAGTTCGCCACATCCTTGAGGGTCTCGTGCAGATCGTATGTGGTCATCAGTCGATGGGAATTGGTTCGAAGATTTGCCACCGCCAAAGGAAATTTTTCTTCCAGCCAGCGAGGGTATATGGCCACCATAGTTGGCAGTGAGGTTTCCCTCATTCCCTGAAAAGTGTTTACGTAACGACCAAATCGCAGGCCATGATCGGACAAAATCAAAACCAATGTCCTTTCAAGTATTTTGCGCCTATGTAGAGCGCGCAATATTAAGTAGTACTGCAAGTCCGTTTGCTCGCCATACTGGAAATAATCGTGGACGCCCATCGTCTGCCAGAAAAAGGCAAAGAATCCTCGATCCCGACTTCTTGCCTGCATATGCGGCAATAATCGGTAGATGAAATCGTAGAGAATATGGTGATACACTCGATCGGCACTGCATGTTATTTCAACTGGACCCCTTGCCGAATATTGAGTTCGCTTGTGCACCTCGTTCATAACGCCGCGCAGATAAAAGTCAGTAGGTTGTTGTTTAAATCCGGGTTTTGTGTAGGTAAAAGTGCCACCTATGCGGGAGTCCTCAGCAAAAATGGTGGCATAACCAGCTGCCTGGAAATCGTGCCACAGGAGGTGGCATCGGTCGTAGTTTGCCTTCTGGTTTGCCCCAAAACAGCCGGTCGGTGCCTCCAGCTCCTCAACACTTTGACCACTTAGAAGAGGCACCAGATTCGGATATGAGTTTCGACCAACGCGGTTGTAGCCCCACATCTCCGTATGCGGAAATCGGTCCACATAGTCCATCACTTGACTAAAAGATATACAAATTTTGTTAGGTATTTTGTATAAAAAAAAATCATAAGCATAATAATAAAGTTAAGAGGAGTGCTTCTTAGTTCACGATTAATTATGTGTTTTATATTTAATTACTATCATAAAGAATACAAAGCTATTTCAATAAATGTTATTGACCAAACAATTTTAAAATGAAATTGGTGGACATGTAAATGATATAAAACATTTTTGGGCCAATAGTTCAGTTGTAAATTTATAGTTATGACAGATAATGTGCAGCCAGGTGGCTTTAATTTTTTTTTTGTCAATATATGCATATGTACGTTTTAATTGGATAACTTGTTTTTGATTTTTACTTTCAGTATTTTAAGGGGTTACATGGGTTTCACGGTTTCAAAAAATCGATTTTTTTTTTTTTGGCTTATTAAATTCTATAACATTTCTAGAATATTGTCCTAAATTTTCAAGTTGATCCGAGTAATAGTCTCGGAGATACAGCCTTGACAAGGTGGACGCTTGAGACCACTTTTATTGTCTCTTAAAACTTTAAACGCGTTTTTCTCAAAACTATGTTTTCAAAGTCGGTTGTCAAAATTTCTCGCAAACTACTCAACCGATCTTAATGAAATTTTACACAAGTATTCGAGATATCATTTACAAGGTATTGAACGAAGGATTTTTTTTTTTTTCAATTACAACTATTTAAAAAAAAAAAAATGTCGAGAAATTTTCATCGAAATTTGCATTTTTTTGTAAAAACGTCTGCCAAAAATCCAATTTTCATTTTTTTTTTTTTTCCTTCGTCCAATACCTAGTTTATTGTCTATACTGAAACACGTTTTTTTTATTTTTACTTTGGATGATCCTGAAAGAAGTTCTGCTGACAACGCGGAGGCACCTTTTTTCCGAGGGACTGCCGGAAATGGCGTCGTAATGGCCGACATTTTGATATTTTTTTTTGAAAATTTCACAAAATCTTTATTAAATATGTATCTTTTAAATAATAAAAAGTTTCATTGAAATATTTCATTTTTTATATGCAAAAAAAATGTTTGAAAAAAGGCCGTTTTTTACCCCAGGAAACCCATGTAACCCCTTAAGCTTTTGTTTGCTCGGTTCCTGTGACGCACGTTCATTTTTAGAGGGCCATTGAAATTGGTTTAAATAACAATCAACAGTTTTTGTTTGTATGTAAACAAAAGATATAAAGCAGATACTCACCTGAAGTAGCGGCGGTAGTGCATATGGGAAATGGAGTCGATGCCCAGGACCAAAACGGAAAGACGTTTAGCGGGTTCCGTGTCGGAAGAATTTATTTTCTTTATTTCTGGCTTTGGCAGAAACATCAGGACGTCGTGATAAACTAAACGACCAAAGTCGACCCAGCACCAGACGCGCATTGTAATGTTTCCCGACATCACCTCCGTGAAATTGTTCCACCTGCTGAAGCCGAACCTCTCAGTTTCCAAGTCCTCATTGTTATAATCGTCTATTCGCTTAAAGCGATTATAGCCGCAGGTAATTTCGCTGGTCCTCCGAACACCAAGCTTTTTCAACAGTTTTTCCCGTCCAGCGGCCATATACAGATAATTGCGACCATCAATGGTTTTCGGTTCTATCAACTTGATCATATAGCACCAGTATATGGGCATCGGTTTCATGTGGTACATCGCCATGGGCGACAGGGGATCCATGGCAATTATTTGGCACTCCGACGTGTTGACGTCGAGACCCCTTTCTTCAGGTTTGCATTCCAGGGGTGGCTCGATTACCACTTTATATTTCAGTGGTTCCCGAAAATATTGTCCAAGGAGCACAAAAAAAATGATGCACAGCAATAATAAGTTGGGATTGATTTTCTGCATCTCAATTATTATACTATAACTAGTTATATTTTTCAATAAATATTTTCTGGTAAGGCATTCAAACCTAAGGTATCTAGATTTAAACATCGACATAGTTCCTTAATAAATTTGAGTATATTGATTTGCCAAGAATCTAAAAAGTCTTAAGTTTTAAACGCTTTTCCCTCTATTCTCTTGTTTGATTGACTTTATATCTACTTTGTTTCTTTTCACTCGCTGCAGTTTGTTCTTTGTCAATTAGCATAGTTTACAGTTTCAGTTCTTTCACCCTTTTTGGCTTTGTTTTTGTTTGCCAAAAAAGGACAAAGTAAAATCCAAACAAGGGTCGGCAAAAGGCAAAAACAAAGACTAAATAATGAGACCCTCGAGAAGAGTTCAGTGATTGAGTCTGCTGTCGGGTGTTTTAATTAGCCCAACTTGATTGGATTTTTCACTCGCTGTTCAGCCAGTTTAGTTTCGCTACCTTTCTAACTCCTTTCCAATTTGCAAGATAGGACTAACAAGGTGTTCTCCAGTTCACATTTCGAAATCTAGTTAAGAGATAATCTATAACTGGGAAAATATTTGTTCCTTTTGGTACTAAATCAATTGTATCGTTACTGGTTTAGTTTCCAGTTTTTATTTATATTTTTTTATATGTAAAATGCATTCAAAAATTAATTAACCGGAAGGACATTATAAATGGGGTAATATTACATACAGTTAATATCTGTAAATTCAGGTAGTTTTTTCTGCCGGAAGCCCCATTTTTCTGTACATTAATTTCCCAAACCAATGATTTAATTAAATTTAAACTCAGCTGGGGATCTAAAAGTGCCTTCAGTGTTTGAGAAAGGTCCTTATCTTCAGTCCTGCGATGCAAAGGACCAAACGGGAGTAACCGGATCTATTTCACAGCCGGAGACAAAACGGGAATTGTGCTTCTCATTCAATTTTCATTCTCGTTCTCCTCTTTGTTTTCCATTGACGGAATCCTTTCCGTATCCGAAATTCGCGATGTTGTTTTCTTTAATTTTCCGCAAGCGGAGGTTGCAAAGCGGCGGCATCCTGCCTTCCTGCTTCCTGTGATTCTTTTCCTTTCCAACTCTGCTGTGCCCCTCGTGCTCCCGCTGCTTTCCTCGGTCATGTCTCGTTTGCAGCATCCTGTATCCTGTGTAAAACATATGCATACATTTTATACCATTACAGCATAACAATATTGCATTTGCAGAAACATTTCTCTCTCTGGCCCACAACCGCTACTCATTCCCGTTTTGGAGCACCTCTCCGTCTCTTATTCCACCGTCAACTGTCTTGCGTTATATGAATCCTGCGCGGATCCTGTGAATCCTAGCGACCTGCTGCCGCCATCCAGTGCGCTTACCCGCGTTACATTTGAGTTACGGTTTCCTGTGCATACCCATTATTTGCTGAGATATGGGATACACGAGTATCGCATTTTCAGGAATGTACTAATGAGGTATTATCTTTCGACAGCATGTGTACTTGCTATAATCCTGTTTAAATATGTTCATCCGCTTTTAGTTTGTGGCTTAAATTAATGTTGGTGTGGTTAAAAAAATGTACAAATTAAGAGGCTTAAACTATAAATTTTTTATTATTATTTTAAGTGTGCTGCAACATGGTGAAATCATATTGAAACGAACTTTACAGGATATCCCATGTTTCTGAAAATCCCTAGTCGAAACTTTCGTGTTGCCTTGATTGTTGTTCTTGTTGTTTTATTTCGTTGAATTTCAGTTTCAGTTTTTGGTTTTGGCTAAAGATTTTACCTGTGCTTACGCCACCCACCAGCATCTCTCAACTCTTCGACTTGGATCCGCCCACCCGCTGCCTGCTCCAATTACTGTTTGCATAGTTGAGTGTCGTCTGCGGAAATTTGTTTATTTTACGCGCATTGCGTTTCGCCTCCGCCTCGGTTTGGTTGGATAACCTGCCTCCTGCCTCCAGCCTCGCCATCTCTTCAACGTCAGGATCCTTGGCTTCTCCTTTTCCTGGGAATCGGAGGAGCAGCAGCACAATGAGACATGACGACGGCGTATCCAACGACCGACTCGCTAAGACAAACTGACAGCTAAATGCGTCAGACTCGTTGCAGATTTCATTTGGCGTGAATTCTTCTTTACATTTCCCCTTTCCCACTTTTTTTTTTGTGTTTTTATGGCTTTTTTCTCTCTTTTTTGCCAATGTGTTTTGCATTTTTGTAGCTTTCGTTGACATTTCCTTCGGCTGCGAAACCTTGTGCATTGAGCAGGTTTATAGCATCCTCCTCTGCCACCGACGCTTCTGCTTCTGCCAAACGGTGCAAGTTACAGTCTGAGTTGAATGCCAGCATCCGCTCGTTCCCCTGCCCAACAAAAAAGGGGTAACATCGAGAAATGTCAGGCACAGCCGTGACTGCCGAAAATGCAAAAAAAAAAAAAAAAAAAAAATAGACATATAACACACATAACTAAAAAACAAAAACGAGTCGTGGGAATGGCCAGGAAGGAGGCGGAGGTCCGTTCACCACTGCGTATGTGCAATAAGTTGCTCATCAAACTACGTTACGTATACGCACACAAGCGTAGATGGAAAACCTAATGAAAATGTCGTAGAGGCTGTAGTCAACATACAAGTTGGTGATGTTTTTGTTTGCCTATAGTCACTTAAGCTGCTGGCTTTCAACGTAATTAAAAAACAATGGGTTACATAAAACAGGGATATAAATTGTTTCGGTAAAACAAGCTTGTTTTTGATGAAGATCTTAAGACGAGACCTATACTTTTCGATTTAAAACAAGTTATATATAGTTATATATAAATGATGTGCTATAAATAAAACTGCGTTATTTGTTTAAACGTGATCAGAATCCCAGTTGTATTATGCTGCAATCAGATTTCCAACAATCCAATTTGGATGGCCAAGCTTAGTGCAGCAATTGATTCGATTTGCCTCCTCATCTGCAGTCGACACTGAATGGACACATGACGACGACAATAGACTGACAATTTTGGCCCGGTCGAGAAGAGTTTGAGCAAGGCTTCAATCACTTGACATGTTCAGCAGTCAATTTGCGGATTGCTTGGATTGCAGTTCCTCCTTCTGATTTTCGTCGTAATACTGCTACTTTAGCTTAGTGCTCATCATCCGCCAGTGCTCGTCATTTGGCCTTCCTGGCTTCCTCCTCCTGCCACTGTGGCATGTTGCAAGTCCTTGTGCCGACTGACTGGCCAACCAGAAGAGTCCGGTCCAGTATGCAGTTGGCCTGTGGCCAGGTATTCCGACCTGTCAGAGGAACAGAGCATATGAGCATCCGTCCGTGGGTGGATGTTGCTGTTGCTGTGGTTGCTGCAATTTCTGCACCTGCCTCCTGCCTTGTGACTCCTGCCCTCTTGGCTTCCCAGTGTCCTGTCCAGCAACTATGCGATGACAGCGGTCGCCTCGAGTCCTTTGCCTAACTGGATCCGGAGACAAAAGTGGACTGGGTGTGGATGTGGGCCAGCGGACAATGTTTGGGATGAACAGCTAACAAACCGATCAGCATCCCACATGCGGAGTCCAGGAATATAACTGCAAACAGCCAAGCCAAATTGTTAATAAAGCCCAGCAAAAAAGGTTTATTTGCTAGAGCAAATTTTAATTTTTATATTTTGTAAAATGTTGGTAGAATTTTATTGAGGAGATTTGTTTTATTGCATCTGTTCATGATATGTACAATTTAAACAGAATACGTTTGTATTTTTGTGCATAAAAGTTATAGTCAATGGATTTAAAATTAATCAAACATTTTTTGGATTTATTTAATTTTATTTTGTTTAATAATTTTATTATCTCTTTATTAAAAAAAACTAGTATTTTATCCTGTTTTTTAAATTACGTAAATTAGTTTCTTAAAAAGGCAAACCAATATTCATCACAGAAACAAGGCAACATTTCTCTTGGGGCGTTGTTTCTGTGGCTGCTGTTTGTCAGGCAACAAAATTACTCGGGTCGGCAAAACTTCAAGCTGGAAAGGGGACAACTCAGGACCAACTTGCTGCCAATAACTCAACTAATTGTCGCTGCAAGTGGTCCACCCATTCTTAGCTTACTTGCCTCATGGTATTACGCCCACCCTGCTGGCAGAAAAATGAGCTACGAATTGTTAATTTCGAGCTGCAGCTGAGCAAAGAAATCGTTTTGGCAGCCAGGCAAACGCAGCCGAGTGGCAGCATTATTAAAGCCTTGTCAGCAGCAGGAGAAGCAACGGCGGCAAGCACCAGCCGCACGTGGCGCAAATTGTGGCATAAAACGGTAGCAAAGACACCTGCTGGCTGCTCTGCATATTAATAAGTTGCTCGGGCCACGCTTTTCCAGCCACCATAATGTATATTGCCTCCTGCTCCGGTTCGAGCCAGGTTAGTGGGTTGGCTGCGGCCCAGCTGGCCATAGTTGGTCATTCATTAGACTCGTTGGCCGATGGCTGTTGTTGTTACTGCTGCAGCTACGTTGGTGGCCAACGGTGCGTATACGTTGTCGCTGCTGTTACTGCGGCTTGCTTGGTGGTACTCACTTTAAGTCTTAAATCATTGGGTAATGATTTAATGTTATGGCTCAACTTGCGTGTTCTGCTTGGATTCAAAACAGAATATTTAAAATATTGGTTTATTTCCATTAAAATTTAAGCTGCAGTGCACAGACCTTAAAGTATTTAATTATAAGTTGATCAGTTGGAGCTTTTTATAATAAATGTTACCACTTAAACCAGAACACTTAAAAAGAGATTTAAAGCTTTGAACGAAAAAATCTGGTGTTCATTTGTAGTTGACCAGATTCGCACCGCAATCCCAATGGTTTTCTTATGTTCAAACCAATCGAAGAACACGAACGCTAATGGCCTAAGCTGCATCTGAATACGCAGTAGGAGCAAAAAAAAATGGCGATTGTCTGGCGACAGGATGTCTGCAGTCTGCAGCAGGATTCCGTGTCTGATTGTCGCCCCGACTCTTTCGTTCTGTTTTTTGTTCTTTTCAGCTGCATTGCCGCACTGCTGAACTTGAGTTGGGGCCTTGGTTTTGAGCGGATTTCATTGTATGTCGATGGACGAAGGAGCTGCGAGGGGCCGAATACTGACGCCAGGCATTCCCCTAGCTGCCAAAAACGTTTCCCCACCGTCCCCTCCTGATTCTTCTAACGACTCTGTAGCCAGTTGCCAAATTTACTTCAATTTTTTATTTGCTGCCATGGCACGTAGAGCGTGCTAA